CTCACCCACTCACCCAGGAAAAAAAAATCATACGTGTTTATTTCGATAACTCTGAGCTTAATGTTCTGAGAGGCAGGGGTGTAAAGGAAGAGGGATGAGAGAGGGTGGATGTGGAGGTGAGAGAAAGAGAGAGGGATGAGGAGGAGTGGTGTGTGAGAGAAAGAGAGAGGGATGAGAGGGAGTGGTGTGGTGAGAGAAAGAGAGAGGGATGAGAGGGAGGGGTGTGAGGTGAGAGAGAGAGAGGGATGAGAGGGAGTGGGTGTGAGGTAAGAGAAAGAGAGGGATGAGAGGAGGGAGGGGTGAGAAAGAGAGAGATAGAGGGAGTGGGTGTGAGGTGAGAGAAAGAAATAACCATCTGGAGATTAACTACCCTCATATTACCTAGGGAAGGGGTTAGGTTAGGTTAGGTTAGGTTAGGTTAGGTTAGGTTAGGTTAGGTTAGGTTAGGTTAGCGTAAGGGTCACCAGTCTTTAGGTGTAGTAAGATGTGGTGTCTAATATTCAGTGAAAGAGAAGAAAAGATAAAGACGTATAATTATTTTTTAAACTTTCTCAAATTCACCAAAACGAGATAAAAAAAAGTCTCTCATATCAATGTTTCTTTTTCTAAGAGTCCATAAAAATTATTAAAACTTAATATAAAACACTAGATAAATTAATAAATAGACATCCAGACAGACAGACAGACAGTAGATAGATAGATAGATACTTTTTCTTCATAGATAGATAGATAGATACTTTTTCTTCATTTCCTGTCATTTATTCCCTCCTACTACTGTTGTATCCCTATAAACCGCACTCGACGTAATGGCCTCCTGATATTCATGTACAGCCACTCAAAGAAATATCTCTACATGAGGTGATCGATGAATTTCAGAATGAACACTGTGACTCCTGTTGTCTCGGTAGGGTTGTCAAAATCCTTCGTCTATTGTGTCATATTTTTTCACCACAATTTTGTAAAGATATTTTTTTGAGTGACTGTACACCTCTGTTATTTGGCTGTTTATGCCCCCAACATTCTTCCCTACGTCTTTCTATCTATCCTTTGCTCTTCCTCCTTCACCCACCTCTGATTTATACAACTCTTTCTACTCTTTCCATCAATCTTTCACTTCCTGTTTTCCTTATATGTATATTTTAGTTAGATGGTCACCTCTCTGAGTTATTTCACTTCAACATCTCCTATTTTTGACATCCCTTATATTCAACATCCTATTAACCTCACTATTGCACTCAAACACATCCAATAATATTCTTTCCTGTAAATCCAGAGTCCAAGCTTCACACCTGTACAATAATGTCAGGTCAATAACTGCCCAATAAACCCTCGCCATCGCCTTTTTTTGACAGTTTCTCGTTTCATCTTATTACTTTCTCTCTTTCCTTTATTCTGTAGTTCAGTTTGTCACTTATTATGCCCTTGTCTAACACCTGTACAAACATTTAGTAAGCAAATAATAGAAAAGATTAAAATACGAAATCCGCCCCTGATCCCCCAAAATAGAGTGCTATATTTACTCGCCGGCATCTCCACCGCGTCAATGGTTGGCTTCGGGTATCTGGTGGTGAGGCTTCTCTCTCAGAGCCACAAAGGGCTAAGACCCATTCATCTCAAGCCCTGAGGGGTCTTAGTGGCGTCATTACGTCCCTTCTTTCTCCAGTAGCTTTTGACCTTCCCCTTCTAACGTAGCTTTAATAAAAAGTGGCCGGAAAAAGGAATTTATACACAAAAGTAAGCCTCACTATACGATTCGGACACGAGTAGTATCAGTCTGTCGGCTGAAGTACAGAGTCCCGACTATGTTAACTAAGTTCAGCTCACTTTCACATAAATCTAACTATACATAATCTATCTGAATATTTTATAATCTAAACTAAATTAAACTGGCTCATCTAATATAGCCCAATGTAATTAAGTTTACCCGAACGTAAGTTGGTCTAAACTAACCTAATTTAGCAAACTGTAAACTGATTTGATTTATCCTAAGCTTAAGCTAACCTCTAACATAATCGAATCCTAACCAAGACTATAACCACCAAACGCAATTTAGCCTTTAAATTACTTAAATTAAATTCCAGCAAACTTAAATCCACAACCTCACTTAAGACTAACCTAACCTAACTTACCCTCAACCAAACCTAATACTGTACAGTCAGAGTTGAAAATCTCTTAAAATATTAAACTAGAATCTTCCCACATAGGAGCAAGTTTGCTTGGTCGTGATAAGTTACGTCAAGAGTGTTGTCAGTGAGGAGAATTTATGGGTTACCTTGGCCAAGAAGTCAGACTTGGAAATTATCAAGAACTAATTCATGTTATCAATAATGAGATTATCATTGATGATAATGATATCAATGATATTTGTTTACATTTACGTTATGAAAAATGAAATCGAAGTGCAGATATAACCCAGTTCTATATACAAGGAGGCGTACGAGCGCTTACCACTTCCTCGACTGTAAACTAAGGTTCCCAGTCACAGCTGGGTGAACGTGAGCTGCCCTAGGGGCGAACCCATTACCCAAAGACAAGAGCCGAGCACTGTATCCACTCGCCCACTAGACCCCATCTGGGATGTAGACACTGAAAGCCAGATTCTATGACTAGTAATTTGGTAGCTCAACATATCAAGTTATATATATAAGGATATCGCACAATAAGGAAAGGTATTTTGGTTCACCTTTTCACATTGTTATGGATCATTGAACGTATGGAGGACAAATATAGACAGGTATGTGAGGCAGCCAATCAAGTGAACCAGGTGAGGTACAGAGTTGGTTACTACTATTGTTAAACACCTGTGTTGTAATTCAGGACTTTGCCACAAATTGCAACTTTTGTGTAATATTATTTAGTCTCATTGTTATTATTCGTCTGAATCACAATTTTAGCGCATTCTAATATTAGTTATTTCTTCAGGAGAATATATCTAATCTTTCTCATGTTTACAATAAGTGGATACCTCGCGGTACTCTCCATTGAAGGTTTGAGAACGAGAAGATAATTGGCCAAGAACAATGTTTACATTACCTTAGAGCAGGTATGTACTGTATAATGTCTATAGTAATAACCTATGTATATTTTCCTTCAGTGTAGACGAAGACCTTATTACTATATAATTCTCTATTTACTTGAGGTGTCAAAAAACAGTTCAAATGCATTAAGAAGATTACCTCCCGCTGAGGAAGGTTAATGAACTGTCTTACGTAAACCGAAGAAAGTGTTCCACGTATAGTTTACCGACAGAGATAAAGGAGAGAGAGAATGGTAACGCTAAGCATGCGTCAAGTGAGGTACTGTGAGGCAGGACCGTGTTTACGTCTCACTGTCTCATCATTGACGTCTTTATAAGGGAGTTCCTTAGCTGTGTCTGTATTGTTATTTTTACCACTACCACTACTGTCATTATAACTGTTATTACTTTTACTACTACTACTATTGTCATTATAACTATTACGAGTGTTGTTACTACTATCAGCATTTATACTACAGGTACCAATACTACTACTACTACTACTACTACCACTTCATTTATCATTACTACTCCTACTACTCCTACTACTACTAATGTTGCTATTAATATTTCTTTCTCGTCCTTGCAACGAATATTTTCTTTCTTTCTCTCCTATTCTTCTTTTCTCTCTCCTTTCAGCTGCAAAGGCTTTCTCTCCCCTTAATTTTTTGTTACTGTCCCTTCCATTAAATTTTTCTCTCTTCCTCTCTGTCTCAAGTACATTCAATATCCACCCCCCCCCTCTCTCTCTCTCTCTCTCTCTCCTATACGGATTTTTATTTCCTTATGCCATAAAATACCAGCTAAGATATGAATATTTACTATACGAAAGAACAGCGAGGCAGATTCTAACTTTGCTGCACTCGAGCGACGTATGAATCACAAATCATGATGAGTATTATAAAATTATGTCCTTAACATTTGACCTCTTGACCCTGAATATATAAACCAAGAAAAAATATTGTACATACATGCCAGATAATTACTTTGACCGCTGACCTTTGACCTTTTGAATGCCCTATAAGCAAAATATATCTAAAGGTTGTCATATACACACCGAGTATGAACCATGTAACTCTTTCCGTACTTGAGTTATGGTCAGATATAAATAGTTGGTCAAATTTAGCTCCACAGATAATTACATCCAGAGAGCACAGACCAATGTATTCACGCGATCCTGAGTGTCTTAACGTGAGTCATACAGTACCAGTGAGTTGGAGTGTGCTGGGAGGAACACGAATAAGAATGACGTGCCTTAATGAGCAAGATAGAGAGAAGGGAGGGAGGCGAAAATGGAAGAAATTAGGGGAATATTTGAGAAAAGTAAGATAACTTGTCGGAAAAAGTAGGAAAGAGGGTGAAAGTTTGAGAAGAGTAAGTAAATTGTGGGAAAAAAAATACTTTATAAGTTCGGGTATATCACACAGGACGTACACACACACACACACACACACACACACACACACACACACACACACACACACACACACACACACACACACACACACCACAGACGCCCCACCGAGTTATGTTACCTGGGAAATAATTATCCCTTTGACCTAATTGCTTCTTAATCCCTAAGGAGGGGAGAAGCTAATTAGGTCTTAATTCGTTACATTACTCAGTAAGTGAGGTCACCTGACCCCGAGTGACTTTAAGTGGTTGCTTACCTAAACAATGGAATGACCTAAAATGACCTATACACTGATGAGCCCAAACTAACACTCTTTATTAGTTAAGAAATAATTATAAGATATAGTAGGCGACAGTAAAGTGAACGACCTTACATAGTTATTGAAGTAAACAATTATTACAGATAGTATGTGCAATTAGTTGTTTATTTTACCACAATGATGGTTGGACCCAGAATGACTCAAAGTGACTGCATATATATAAACAATGGTTAATTACTGTTTGTGGTACAGATTAATCTTAATTGGTTGGTTATGTAAACACGTTTTAACGATGGTTTCTCTTTCCACAGCTAACCAATGGGAGGTCAGCATCGTTTGTCTGCTAATGGGCACTGCGGCTGTTCTCCTCCTGCTGTAGGTGATAGAGTGTCACCATCACCACCACCGCCATCATCATGAACACCACCGCCAACACCATAGCCACCACCACCATCATCACCACCACCACCGCCACCGCCAACATCACCATCACCACCATAACCTTCCACCTGCTGTAAGTGGTTCAGTGCCATCACCACTGCCACCACCAACACTACCATCACCATCACCATCACCACCATCCCCACTAACACCAGCACCACCACCACCGTCACCATCCTCCTGTAGCTGTAGGTGGCATAATACTGCCCCTACTTCCACCGCCACTACCATCACCACCATCACCCCCACCACCACTAACACCACCACAATCATCCTCATGCTCTAGGTGGTATGGTGTCACCAGAACCACAACGTTAAGCATCACCATAACGATCATCTTGTTACCATAAGGGGTACAGTGCCACTATCACCATCACCACCAGTATCATCACCTTTAACACCGCCAAAACCACTATCACCACAACCACAACTACTACCACGACCACCACAGTCCAGGGGCGGATTCAAGAGATATTCTGAGGTCAATAGTAATTACTTTTTACTATACAAAAATGGCTGACTACAATACTGCATTAAAGAAAAAGTATAAGAAATTTCTGATGATAAGGGGGGGGGGTTCAGACACCCAACCCCCCCCCCCCTTGGATCCGCCCTTGTAGTCACCACCAACACCAGCACACCTACCACAACTACCACAATCACTGCTTACCACCACCAGCACTACCCTCACTCGCAGCGCTACTACCAATACCACCACCATCACCACTACCATCACCATCACCACCATTACCACCGTCATCCTGCTGCTACCATTCAGTGCTATCACCATCACCTGCTATGGGTCAAATAGCAGGACTGTGTATGGTTTTCAACTCTACATAATCACCATATACAGTTTTAAAGAGCGTGCTAATTTTTATCATTACACCTGTAGTTAAATAAGTGACTCCACTGACAGAGTTAACCAAATGTAGAGTTATTTCTATATATAGTTTAATACATAATGTTAGCAAGACTCCTTATATACACGTAGAGTTTGTTAATTAATAGAACTTCAAATCTTGTTAAGTCTGTAGAGTTTTTATCCATAGGGAAATATCTTGATTATGAACAGTTAATTGGAGTAAAGTCTTTGACGGAAAGTTTTATCATGAGTAAAGTCTTTAAGTTAGGATATCTACCTGAAGCAAAGTCTGTTTATTGAGTAGAGTTATCATAAAGTCTGTTAACTATTGGAGTTTTGTCAAGTAAAGTTTGTTAACTATTAGTCTGTTAACTATTAGTCTGGTCAAGTAAAATCTGTTAACTATTAGAGTCTGGTCAAGTAAAGTCTGTTAATTATAAGAGTCTTGTCAAGTAAAGTCTGTTAATTATAAGAGTCTGGTCAAGTAAAGTCTGTTAACTGTAAGAGTCTTGTCAAATAAAGTCTGTTAATTATAAGAGTCTGGTCAAGTAAAGTCTGTTAAATATAAGAGTCACATCTAGTAAAATATCCTAATGACTAAAACTATATTACGCAGAGTCTGTTACTAATTAAAGTTATTTCACGCAAAGTTTGTGAATTATGTAAAGTTACTTATAATGCCAAGTAAAGTCTGTTAATGCATAGCTTTCCATGTAAAGTTTTATTCGATATGGAGTTATTAATGTAAAGTTTTATGTTCAGTAGAGTTTTTTAGGTAAAGTTTTTTCGAGAGAGCTTATAATTAATGTAGAGTTATCTCGTGAACTTTTTTCCACCTGGGTTTTATAATGCAAAGTTTTATTCTACCTATTTTTTTCTATTTTAAATTTCTATTCTAAGTAGAGTTTCCTCATTATGAAGTTGTATTAAGTTCCTTCATTTAAACTTTCCACTTAAGTAGAGTTCTTTAACGATCCTCTTCAATAGAATTCTTTCACGTAAAATTATATCCAAAGTGAAGTTCTTATATAAATAATTTTTATCTTAAGTAAAGTTCTTTCACCAAAAAAAAAAATTCCACTTAAGAGTTATTTCACGTAAACTCTCTTGTACTTAACTTCCGTCGTTTTTTTCTGTAATGAAGAGTTTTCAGTTAGGGAGAACATTTTAATCTGTAGTTTCTCATTATTCTCTTTTTAATTCACGTAAAGTTATTTTTTTGTACACTGTCATGGAGTTCACCTCATAAGTAGAGTTTCTCACATCATTTTAGGGGCAGTATATTCATCGGGATTTGAGAGTCTCTAAGACAATAGTAAAGTCACTCACTTATTGTTTTAGTGAGGACAGTTATTTGTCTTCTCAGGTAGAGTTCTTCAGTAAAGTCTAGTTGTAGGCCAAATGGGTCCCAATCCCAATAGCCCCCTAGTCCTAAAAGGTTCCAGACCTAATAGACCCCAGTTTCATAAGACTTTAGTACTGATAGACCCCCAGTCTTGGTGAGCCCCAACCACACCTAGTCTACCCCAAACAAACCCAAAGAAACGATTATAATTGGAGTCCCCTCAGGTCTTGGCCCCAAACCAGATCAGTTAGCCAGACTAGAATAGTGCCTAATAGGACTTGGGGCCTCTTACAACTGGGGTCTACTGCGACTGAGACACATTTGGCTAGTCAGCGAATATTTTCTTTATGGTAGAGTTGGGTCCAAAACGTTCTCACCATAACAGAGCGCCAGTACGGGCAAAAAGTTGGCGAAAGTTAGTCTGACGTATCTTCTATAGCGTAATTATATTCTGAATTAGACGCCGACACTGCTGGCAGAAAGTGGACGAACGTTCGTCTGGCGAAAACATCTAAAAGAGAGGTAGATGGAAGGGAACGAGAGACGAGGGTGAATGCCCGCACTGGCGTGGTCTACATGGTGAGGGCTAGAGTGTACAGTAGAGTCACACCCTGGAGGTGGCGCCCACAACTATGCCTTAATAATCATGTCTGCGTGTTCATGTCTGGATCACCCCTCTCTAATATTGTACTCTCTCTCTCTCTCTCTCTCTCACTGTCTTTCTTTCTTCTCTCTCAATCTCTCCCTCACTACTTCTCTCTCATCAACCTTAATCATTACTCACAACAAAAACGTCCTTATTCCAAGCGAAATTTCACGCTATTATACAACTAACATGTTGCATCATCAACCTTAGTCGCTGTTTGTGGTTTCTTCTTATCTCTCGGCTTTATTTTTCTTCAACAGTATCTCTGTTTTAATTGTTTATCCTTTGTTTTGGCTACGTTTACATAATTTATTTTTAATGTAATTTAAAATCTTTTGATACTACTCGATTTGGAGGTTTTCAATCTTTTTTTTTTATTTTTTGGGGAAAATTTGGTTTTACTATCGACTCTTTTTTAACTTGTTTACAATTATTTAATTTTTTCTTATTTATTTTCATTATTCTTTAAACTATATAAATTTAACTTGTGATTTGTCTTTACTTTTGTGAAAAATATAATTACCAAACTTTCAGATTTTAATTTTTCATTCTCACATTATTTTTATTTTAGGATTTTTTTAAACATTATTGTATCATCCTTTAAGATTACACACACACACACACACACACACACACACACACATATATATATATATATATATATATATATATATATATATATATATATATATATATATATATATATATATATATATATATATATATATATATATATATATATAACTTCCTTGCAGACAATTTTTACCTGATAAACACCCATTACCATGTTTATTGAACCAATACCTGTAACCAACACAGTATTATGATGACTCCATTACTAGAGGTCAAAGGTCAGGGGTCAGTAATTAATTAAAATGACTACTGAAAAATAATTGCAATACCCTGTAAGTGGCAATGCCCTTTGGTTAGGTAATATTTCTTCACGTGACCGACATACCCGTAATTAAATTGTATTCATTATGTTTATTTTTCTAACATCAAATCTGTTTTTAGACTTAGAGATTAAAAAAGTCAGACAGTCATTTAAATAAACGTGGGTACAGTAGTGTTATGATGAAATATAAACATGATGAGACATTATCCCCCGACTTACTGATCCACCACCACCCACTTGCTCGGCTCTGCCCGGCATACGACCAATTCTCCAGCAAAACGCAGCTAAGACTACTGTATATCCAAGGTATCATTGCTTTCCTTAACGCAGGGCCTCTTAAGGGTTACATATTATATATTATACACATAAAACACTACATACATTAGCACTATGAATTAAAATAAACGCTATCTGTATTTACTATATGCTGACGACGGTGGGTCTGTAATCCATAAATAATAATAATAAAAACAAACAGTGATACAGATATGACGGACCTTGAAGCCGGACGAAGCACAGCCTTTCAATATTTCCCTCGGTTAAATAGCCAATGGAGACAAGAAGCCGTGTTTTAAACTATAAGGGTGACACTGGCTTCCAACCTCACCTCAACTAACTAAATAAAGAGGTTAACCAAGGGATAAATTGTATTGTTATTATTATTATTATTATTATTATTATTATTATTATTATTATTATTATTATTATTATTATTATTATTATTATTATTGTTGTGTGTTATTGTTATTGTTATTGTTATTGTTATTATTATTACTATTATCATTATTATTATTATTATTATTATTATTATTATTATTATTATTATTATTATTATTATTATTATTATTACTATTATTATTATTATTATTATTATTATTATTATTATTATTATTATTATTATTATTATTACTATTATTATTAGTTTGGTCTTGGTGTGTTTAATCATGGACCCTCAATTGCTCAACCATTCCCAGCCCACTTCGGAACATTTCTTCTCCAACTCTTTTATGGTGAGAGCTCCAACCCTTCAGTCCTCTCATTTCCTACTCTAGCCAATTCAATGACCACTCTTGCCCACTTACTGTCCAGTTTTGTCTACTCACTCCCCACTTTTGCCCAATTATTACCCATTTTTGCCCAGTTATTGCCCATTTTAGTGCACCCTTCCCACTCTACACACATACACACACACACACACACACACACACACACACACACACACACACACACACACACACACACACACACATACACACACACACACCACTCCGTCAATGTCCTTCCCTCCCACTGAAGTTCCATAAATAATGGCGTGACTATCTATTCCACCTGCTCTCTCTCTCTCTCTCTCTCTCTCTTTTCATCTATTTCTTCTCTTTAGTTCCTATTATATCCTGCATGTCTCCAATTCCTCTCTCCCACTCTCTCTATCCCTCACTCCTACACTCTCACCGGGACACAGAATTTCTAATAAGCCAGATCAAAAGGAAGTCTGGCAAACGCACCTTATTTCATTCCAGTCAAAAAAAAAGCAAAAAAAAAAAAATTCCAATTGATTTTCCCCAAAAGAGAAGAAAAATGTGATAGAGAAAGTTGAAATAGAAAGTTGAAAGACTGGGTTATAACATCCTTATAAGAGTTGAAATGTTTTGGATTTCTTTTTATCCATCTGACTTGAGTCTTTCCATCCATCAACTGAGGACATTGACTGATCAATTAAGGTAACAATGGAGGGAATGGGGGAAGAGGAATCAGGTTCATTAGATTGTAGGTATTATGAAAAATTCGACTTATTGATTAATGACAATTGTGATAA